GCGTGGTGGCGCATGCCTATAATTCCGGCTACTTGGAAGGTTGAGGTGGAAGGATCGCCGGAGCCCAGCAGGTCAAGGTTGCGGTGGCCGGGAGCGGCCACTGCACTCCAGTCTGGGCGACAGAGTGAGACTCCAACTCAAAAAAAAAAGAAAGTTACCCATTTACTTGGTTAGCTGAGATGTGCTACTGAACTAGGACTTTGATGGTAGAACTTTATATGTCTTAGAAACTCCTCTGGACATAACATTTTGGAAGGACCATCATGGACTAAAAATATTTCTTTTCTATTCCCTCATTCATTGCCTCTCTCACCAAAGATGGCTGTGATTATAGTTATAGGTAAAAATGGAAGATGGCAATAGCTGATAGCTAAATTTGTGGAGCTGAAAAGGGCACCAAGGGGAGAAGACTACAGTAATAGGTCTTATCTTCAACTCTGAAAAATTCACATATGTCCTTTGGCTCATCCTTTTTTTTTTTTAAGTTGGGATCTCACTCTGTCACCCAGGCTGGAGTACCTTGGCCCTATCACAGCTCACCGCAGCCTTGACCTCCTGGGCTCAGACGACCCTTCTGCCTCAGCCTCCTGAGTAGCTGGGACTACAGGTGTGCTCTGCCATGCCTGGATAATTTTTAGATTTTTTTGTAGAAATGAGGTCTTGCTGTGTTGTCCAGGCTGGTCTTGAACTCCTGGGTTCAAGCTGTCCTCTCGCCTTGGCCTCCCAGAGTGCTGGGATTACAGGCATGAACCACCACGCCCAGCCTCTTTTGGTACCTTTCAATACCCTGCACCTAGGATAGGGCATGGCGCATTGTAGACTTTCAATAAAAAGTTGTTGAAGGATTGAGTATTTCGATGTTCTTTTTCACGTGATCTCATTTCTATAGAGTTCTCTTTGTATTATGAAGGAGGGCAGCTCTACTCTTTACTGGTTTTATGGTACAGTATAAATGGAACCTTCTGTTTCTCAGAACTCAGAGAACTTCACAGAAATTTTTGTTATTATTGCTCTCAGTCACTTGAACAGTAATAATTAACCTTAATTTTATGTATAAGACTACTTGGAGATTTCACAAAATTTCTCTGTCAGGAATGTACAGGATATTAAAAAAATAGGAGCTTCGTGGTGAAGAGTCCAAGTGCTAGACAGACTGCCCTGCCTGAGTTCATATCTTAGCTCTGCTATTTACTAGCTGTGTGACCTTTGGCAAATTATTTAACTTTCTCTACCACAGTTTTTTATCACTTGTAGAATGGAAATAATAGACTATATATTTCACTGGGTTATTGTGAGGATTGAATAAAATGATACATGTAAAGCACTTAGACCAGTGCCTGGCATGTAATGAGCTCTCAATAAATGTTAGCTGTGGTTATAGCTTCATAGAAATTCGTGCCTGTGTCATTTTTATTGAACATATTATGATAACAATTGATGACATTACTTATTGACTTACTAGATGGCTGGTAGATTATTCTCCTAGAGACTGGCTATATAAAGCAATGTTATTCTGTTGACTGTTTTGGTCACTGCTTTTATATGGGTCCTTTATCAGACAGTTTCATGTAAGAACTTCATATTGAACTTTCTATTAATAGGTTGGCTGTTCCCTAGACAGAGGTTGGAGTGTTTCAAATGGAAGAGGAACTTAAAACACTCTGTATGTCTCTTAGTAGGGGTATGATTAAGTAAAGTATTTTTCTCTTGTGCACATGTGCACATGTTTTTTCTAGGTAGATTCCTAGAAGTGAATCTCTGAAGGAGACAATTTGAATGGATACTAACACCAGAATACCTTTTTCTACACACCTTGGCCAACACTTAATAATACCAGACTTTTAAAATTTGCATTTTCTTGAGTACTCACCTTGAGCATCTTTTAATATACTTATTATATTTCATTTTGAAATTATTTATTCATTTCTTCCCTCTATGTTTCTAATGGATTGGTTATATTTTTTGTAATGATTCATATGAGTTTAAAATAAACAGCTATGCTAATTTTCCGTGCTGTAAAACTAACAAATGACCAACATTGGTAATTACTTAAACACATATTTATTATTGTACAATTTCTTTATATCAGAAGTCTGGGCATAGCTTAGCGTACCTGCTCAAGGTCTCAGGAGGCTACAGTCCAGATGTCAGCTGGACTGCAGACTTGTAAGAGACTTGACTGGGGAAAGATCCATTTCTAGGTTGCCTCAGGCTGTTGGCAGAATTAATTTCCTTGCATCTACCAGACTGAGGTTTCCTTTTGGAAGTCACCCTCAGCTTTTGGAGTTCACTTGCAATTTCTTGCCATGTCGTTTCTCCAACATGGCCATGCACTATAAGATGACAGCTTGCTGCTTCAAAGTCAGTGAGAGGGAATCTGTCTAGAATGTCTGCTAGCAAGACACAGTCTTACATTTACATAAAACACAAGCACCAGAGTGACATCCTGTCACCTTACCATATTGTGTTGGTTAGATGCAAGTCACAGGTCTCGTCCACACCCAAGGGGAGAGGATTGTACACACTCAAGGGCCTGAGCACGAGGATGTGGTGCTCCTAGTGGTGACCTTAAAGTCTATCTGCCACAATGGCATTTTCCATTTTAATCATTTTCCTCGTGTGTGTATAAAGTAAATATCTTCCTGTTTGTTCTTATCTTTGAATTTTTTATCATTTTTATTTGTTTATATATATATTTTTTGAGTCAGTGTCTCACTCTGTTGCCCAGGCTGGAGTGCAGTGGCACACTCATGGCCACTGCAGTCTCGACCTGCTGGGCTCAGGTGATCCTTTCACTTCAGCCTTCCAAGTAGCTGGGACTATAGGTGTGTGCCACCATGCCTGGCTAATTTTTTGATTTATTGTAGAGACAGCGTCTCGCCAAGTTGCCCAGGCTGGTCTCAGACCTGTGGGCTCAGGCAGTCCTCTTACCTCAGCCTCCCGAAGTGCTGGGATTATAGGTGTGAGCCACTACACCAGCCTATTTTTAATTTTAAAAAAATTTTTGTTTTTTGAGTCAAAGTCTCACTCTGTTGCCCAAGCTGGAGTGCAGTGGCATGCTCACGGCTACCACAGACTCTACCTGCTTCCATCTTAGCTTTCCAAGAAGCTGGAACCACAAGCGTGTATCACCACGCCCAGCTCATTTTCTGATTTATTGCAGAGACAGAGTCTCACCGAGTTGCCCATACTGGTCTCGAACCCTGGGCTCAGGCAATCCTCTTACTTCCATCTTCCAAAGTGCTGGGATTGCAGGAGTGAGCCACCGTGCCAGGCCATCTTTGAATTTTTTAATGGTGGCTGTTGTTGTATATAACTTTTTACATTTTAATATATATAAGTTCTTTGAACTACTCTTGCAACTTGTCTGTAACTTTGAAACTGTTTCAAGTTAAAAAGTTTTTTTCTTAAAAATATCCATAATGAATCTATAGGTTGTGTGTTAGAAAAAATTACATCTTCAAAGTAATGGTAGCACTTCTGAATGTAATTTTATAATTTGTATGACAGCCAGTTTTAAATTGAGAAAATGTCTACTGAGATTACATGAGAATTCAGGGGATAACACATTTTAATGTATAAATAGTATCTGAAAAACTTTTTAGGTCTTTTTAAGTACAGTGTTTAAAGCAGGAATATCAACTAGTAGTGTTATTTATACTGATTTTGAAACACGTCTAAGCTATCTGCTTGTGTCTCTTCTTTCTTATTTAAGAATTTCCATAGGAATGGGGAGCATAGTTGTTAACCCTTTTGTTTTTATTCCTCCTAATACAACCAGACTTTTCTTTTCTTTTCTTTTTTTTTTTTTGAGTTGGAGTCTC